GAATCCTGGGGCTGGAGAGATGGCTCAGTGGTTAAGAGCACTGACTATTCTTCCAAAGGTCCTGAGTTCAATTCCCAGCAATCACATGGTGGCGCACAACCACCTTGAATGAGATCTGGTGCCCTCTGCTGGCCTGCAGGTAGAAGACTGGATACATAATAAATAAATAAAATCTTAAAAAAAAAAAAAAGAAAGAAAAACCCAAACAAACTAACCAAAGAAAGAAAGAGTTCACAGGAAGAATATTTAGGGCATTTGTGTATATTTTCAGAGATTCATTTAAAGCTTATTCTTTTTCTTCTACTATGTTGTTGCCATGTCTGGATATGCCTGATATAAATCTTGTAATCTATTAGTATTAAAAATGAGTATTTTAAATACTCTGATGTTTTCCTTTGGGCCTACATGGCAATGTAATAAAATGAAAGTACACATTCCTTTTATTTGTTTGCAATAATGTATCTCTAAGCCTTTGAAGGGGGCTGGAGAGATGGCTCAATGGTTGAGAACATGTGTGTAGCTCTTGCAAAGGACTCAGGTTTGCTTCCCAGAACCTACAAGGTGCCTCACCACCACCTGTAACCTCCGTTCCAGGGGATCCAAGAGGCACACGCATACATGTATGCAGGCAAAACATTATTCATACATATAAAAGAAAAATAAATCTAAAAAACTCTTGAAAGTTTTCTAAATTTTTATCTGAATTATTTTGGATAATTATATATTTTAAATAAGATGTTTTATCAAGATGCAGTATATATTTTATAGTTACATATTTTAATGTATGATTTGCATTATATTATAATTTACCATGTTTCATACACAATGAAGTATATAGTACATTTTCTTAAATTTAAGAATGGATGGTTGACTTAAAGGGGGATTAGAAGATTTGCACTCCCATCACTTGGCTGGGAGGCACAGGTATCTGCTCCAGAGCACGTGCACACACAAATGAGAGCAGGACCAAGGAACGCTGTCTTGTCTCAACTTCACAGCAGCTGGCATTCACTGTCCTGTGTCTTCTGTAGCGCCATGCTTACATGCTATCATAGTACAGGTTCACTGTGGCATCAGTGGAGAGTGACTTCCAATGGTTTCCAATGGTCATTGAGAGTAATAAAAAGGAATCTGGTGATTTAAAGGAAGATGCTACAGCTCATCAGGGTCTCCATGGGCTGTGACCTTCCAGACCTGGCTGCAAGTGCTGGCAATATCAGCCAAGCACTAAGACCTTCCCTGTGAAACTTAGCCATAGACATATAAAGTGCTGGGTAACTGGGGTCTCACGATGCTCCTGAACCACTGCACCCATCAGTGCAAAAGCAACAGCAGGCCAGCTTTGTACTGGGTGATCAGAGACAGTTACTGCACCTCACTGTCACCCTGCGCCCTCATCCTTTCCCGCGCCTTCACAGGGGCATGCCTTGTTTACATGTTCAACAGGAACATTTGATGGAACTGTACAAAATGCAGATTTTGTTAATTATCACTCTTGAGAAGAGTTTTAGAAATTTTTCATGGTAAAAGAGAAAGTGAGACACCCAGCGCCAGCCTGTTCTGTCTGCAGAGAGGCACTCCAGTGCAGGTGTGAGCTCTTGCTTCAAGTGACACTTTCATTCCATAGGCAGTGGCTTGAAAGAATGACAATCCACCAACAATGGTCACTCACGTAAGTATGAGGCACAGACCTTCCTAACAACTAACAAAATTACCAGGTCCCTGTAATGGCATCTTGCCTTGCCAGTGAACCACCCTTTGGACGTGGTTTCAAGTGCAGACATGACTCATTATAAGGCTGAGGAGGGGCTGTCTCACGCTCTCTTGGGTTGTGGAGAGCATCAGAAGGGCAGAGACTGCATTTACTGGAGCAGGAAGATCACAGGGGTTATTTATTATCTGAGTAAGTGTTTCCCTATTTATCATTCATCTTGGATCTGGTGGACTCATTTAAACCCTGCATTCAGATCCCCCTTAAGAAAAAAATAAAAATAAAAAAGGACAGAATCTGTGGCCCACGATAGGCAATGAGGACTTTTGTTTATTTTGCTCATTTTAAGCCCTTTGTAGTGGCATGCACCTGTAATCCCACTGCAAGGTATGCAGAGACAGCAGGATTCCCAGGCAAACTCTTTATTTTAAGATAAGTTATTTTATTATCGCCACTATGTACATGTGCAGTGACAGTGCACACGTGCCAGGGCACCTATGTGAAAGGAAGAAGACAACGTTCAGGAAGCCAGTTCTAGCCTCCGACTGTGGATTCCACATCCCACACAGGCTGTCAGGCTTTCACTGACTGAGTTATCTTGCCATCCCAAATTTAAGCTTTTAAACAGAAATTAGAACCATGGAAAACTTTTGACAGCTTTTCAACACTCTGTGACATGTCACCAAGGATGACAGCACAGCAGCTCTAAGTTTTCACTGTATTATGGAATACACCAACATTAGGAACATAAGATAAGGATGGAGATTTTCCAAATGAGCCACACATCGTGATGCAAAGCTATATGGAGCTACAAGACCTGAACTACAAAACAGGCTATGACTGTAACATGAGAAATAAAAGACCCAGAGGCTGACATGGGGGTTCAAGCTTCCAGCTGAAGATCAGAGAGGCAAAGCAGACAAGCCAGTAGATCTTAGCTCTACCCGACTGAAATGGCAATCCTGTCTCCACAAATACTCAGAGGCAAAAGGCTCTCAGATCCTGTCTCCTCCTCCTTTTATTCTTTTCCCCCCCCCAGCCTTATCACCCCTGTCTCCACCTCCCTAGTGCTGAGATCACCTTTGTGTAAGCTGTTTCTTTTAGGACTGGATCTATTTGGTGTAGTCAGTGTGGCCTTGAACTCAGAGAGATCCATCTACCTCTTACTCCTGGTAGTAAAGGTGTGTGCCACCACTGCCCAGCTTCTATAGCTAACTCCAGTGGCTTTAATAAATCATGAACACTATATGAACTGTGTGCATGTGTGTACATGCATGTATACTGCACATGTGCACAAGCAGAGGCTAGACACTAGGTATCTTCTGTAATCACCAACTTAGCCTGGAGCTTCTGACCCAGCTAGGTGGCCCCAGGGATCCTCCAGTCTGAGTGCCTTTCACTAGGGTTACAGGTTCACAACACCACGATGGGGCTTTTCTACTTAGGTGCTGGGGATCTAAACTCATGTGCTCATGCTTGCATGGCAAGCACTTCACAGGTGAGCTATCACCTCAGGCTGGGTCAATGGGCTTTAACATAACAGAGTATAAAAATCTCATTCATATAACCTCAGATCCCACACTGCGACTAACTTTTAAAACATGACTGTTTCAAAACTACTGACTCCTATCTCCAGTGGCTATTGAGCTAGCACTGCCTTTCTAATTACACAGCTGTGTGGAGATTGGCATTTCCACCAAAGCAGTATATCCCACAGACCGAACACAGCTTTCCAATGCCAGGCAAAGAGACTCCTAAGATGTAAAAATAGTGCTATCTCTCTAGCAGGTTATCTGTGTCTTATAAAAGGTCACTGTTTATTGTTACTATGGTTATTGCTTATGGTTACTATTATCACTATTATTATTATTATATTGCCTGTATTATGAAAATGGTGATGCGTGCACTTCCATCTCATGTGCAGAAGCCAACGGGGACAACAGGTAACCTGTTGTATCACTCTCCAACTTATTCCCTGAGACAGGGTCTTTAACTGAACCTGGTTCTTCCCTTTTGAAAGTGGTTGACCAACGAGCCCTAGGGGTCCACCTTTTCTGTCCCACACACCGATGTTTGGGACAGTTATAGGTATAGGTTAGACTGTACATGTCTAACCATGTACAGCTTTTATGTGGTTGATAAGATCTGAAGTTGTGCTTCCTCAGCAAGTGTTCCCACCTACTAAGCCATCTCCGCAGTCCTGTATGACTGTTTTCAAATGAAGCAACTTTCTTGTGAAGTAATAGTCTCCCTTTCTCTTCCCTCCTTCCCCTCCCTTTGAAGGACTGAGGATCAAACCTATGCCTTGTGCTGGGCAAGTATTCTGCCCCAGCTCAATAAGCATTTCCTAAATTTCTGGGTGTGGTTTCATATGGGACAAATATTGGAAAGCACAACCCACATAAAGCTCTTTGGGATCTTAAAGAGCATTGAAGGGAACTAAGATGGCTGGGGTGAGGGAGGGCTGGGGTGAGGGAGGGCTGGGGTGAGGGAGGGCTGATGGGGAAAGTACTTCTGTGTATGTTTATCTTATTGATTGTTAAATAAAATACTGTTTGGCCAATGAGACAGCAAGTTAGGACTAGGAGTCAAAGAGGATTCTGGGAAATGTAGTAGAGAAGTGCTGATCCAGGCAGGAAGTGACATAGCAAGGAGACTCAGAAGGAGAAACAGGAAGTGTCCCCCTTTTTCCCTCTGCTCCTGCTCCAGCAGAAGTGACATAGCAAGGAGACTCATATTTAAAGGAGGAGAAACAGGAAGCGTCCCCCTTTTTCCCTCTGCTCCTGCTCCAGCAGCGGGATATGATCCACCGGCAAGGAGGGACGCCAATAAGGCGTCCGATAAGTCTTATAACATATATAGATTTATGATAGTTAAGACTGAGCTGACAGATGAGAATCCTAGTCATTGGCCAAGCAGCTTTGAACCTAATACAAGTTTCTGTGTATTCATTTGGGCCCTAACTCGGGTGGGCGGCTGGCGTAAAGCTCACACGTGGCGGTGGGGCTCAGGCGGCTTTTAGCAGAAAGATTTATTGTAACAGAGGGCTGGGGTGAGGGACAGCAAGCATAAAGATGCTTGCTGCCAAGCCTGATGCCTAGCTTGAGTTCAATCATTGGTACCCAGATGGAACAAGAAGAAGACCAACTTCCATAAATCAATCAATCAATCAATCAATCAATCAATAAATGGGAAACTGAGACCATTAAATACAATGTCATTTTTTCCCCACACCACAACATTCTACAGCCAGGAAAAACAAATTGGGTGATAAGACGGATGGACTTACGACAAGAAGGCCTCATTTACAGCTTCGAAGAACTCTGGCGAGAGGGCTTCCTGAGGTTCACGTCCATGGTAAGTAAGTAGAGCCTCCACCAGTGGTTCAAAATCAGGCAGAGTAACCAGAGGGACACAAACTTGTGACAGGGACATCATGCGCTCGGGAGCCATCCTGTTGGAGAAAAGAGTAAAAGGTGACGGCCCATATTAGAAAGCCATGTGTACCAGAACACATAACGTCTTCTGCTGCAAAGGACAGTGACGGCCCCCATGCTGGCCCAATAAAGATCTTCTCTAGCAGCGTGTGCCAGGTCTTCCTCAGTCACTGCCATTCCCGAGTCTGCTGAGCGTGAGTGAATGAGTCCTTTATTTGTACAAGGATTTTATTTGTACATCTATCTGCAGACACATCTGACAAACCAAGGCCCAAACAACTCCAAGCCTTCCACAGATCCCCAATGCAGACACTGGCCCTGCCTGATCCAGGAGTGAGTGCTGTCAACTCCGCAGCTGCTTAACACCTCCATCACTACCCCCTGGCTCAGACCGCGCCACCACCTCCAGCTGCACAGGAGCAGTCTCCTTACGGCCTCGGTTTCATTCCACTGCTTATCAATGAGAGACAGTTCAGCAGCCCTCTCAACTTCACGTTACTGCTCAAAAGTCCTTCCATGATGGCCCGAGTGGTCTCCCATAGCAGGCAAAAGGTCCTTGTACCCACAGATAAGCACTAGGGAGACCAATAATGTCAAACATGCAGGCCTGTCTCTTCAACGGAAGGGATGTGTGATGTGAACCTGTTTTCCACCCAGAAGGCTGGGAGCAGAACAGATGTAGTTAATAACCTGATGACCCGATGACCTTCACTATCTGTAGAGCAGGCCTAACCTGAGTCTCCCACAATTCCTTCCTAAACCTTTATTCAGTGACAGATCCACCCCTCCTGTACCTGTAGCTCTGACCACACCTGTTGGGCATGGTCACAGGTAAGGACGTGACTGGGAGTGAGTTTAGGTCTGGGGTCTGGGCAGGTTGCTCTTTCTTGAGTGCAGTCGGGTCACAGGGAACAGCCTGGGCAGATTCTTGGAGCCGGAACCTGCAGCGGCCATCTGCTTCTTGTGTAAGTGATGACTTCTCTCCGAAAAATGTATTTAATATTTGAACTTAGTTCCATGAATCATTATCCATGCCTCTGCAGCTGGCAGCCCAGCGGGACACTCACAGCTAATGGGGAGTGAATGATTTGCCCCCACTGGGCATCCACACTACAGGTGTGGGCAGGGCGGATACCTCACTACGGCGTTACCTTACACTTCTCGGTCATAGCATCCATCCTGAGGACACATGTCATATGTACTTTGTAGTGTGGTGACCTCTACTTTATTTGTATGACCAAGACCACACCTGAACTTCCTCTACATGCACGTGGGACTTGAGATAACTGTTATCAGTAAACTTTTTTCCCCAAAATTTGTACTGTATTTAAATGCCTAGAAAATAAACTGCCCAGTGTCAGACTCTAAAAGTTTGAACCAACATCAGCTAATTAAGTCATGTTGAACCAGATTTCCTTCTTGTCTTATTTGGATCTGCTGGCTATGGCGTTTGCAGGGACTCCCCTTCTAAGTGAAAGCCTGTTGTCCAGCCTCCTGTGAACTACTGCTAGCCACCTTGAGTCACAGGAGCCTCAGAGATGCTGCTTTGTGGCAGTGCTCTGACCATTGCCTATCAGTGCATCATCTGTGGTGTGCAGCATTTTAAACAAGTTATGGTGAAGAAAAACTAGAGACTGGGGACCCCAGCAGTGTCCTAGGAGCTCACCAGCTCTGCCAGGTCAATGGCTTCAGCGTTGGGCAAGGCATGTTATAGGATGCGTCTTTCAGCAGGGAGCACCCAGGTCAGCATAGCTGCAGGAACCTTCTCCTAGTTCTCACTCTTTCTCAGGAGTTCCCTCATAGCTGCACTGTACTGAAGGGACTGGATCTTCACTGGCACGCAAGCCTTAAGAGATACAGAGGCCCTTTTCAGTTTTTCTCAGAACTTTATTCTTTATGCTGGAGTGACTCCCTACACACAGGGTATGCTGAAGAAACAGATGTTACACAAAACTCTAAACTGATAAAATCAAAAGTCATCAGACCCTCACCCAAGTGTTTTCACACATAATCGTAAATAAGAAATTTGGCCCCAGGTTTTAAGCAACAATGTGACACATATAGTTGCCATGTCCCTTTTTACATGCATGCCTAGTACTAAGCATATGTATACACTGACAGACAGGAAGGTCATTCTCATGTTTCACCATCATACACACAGTCTGAGCCCCGGTCACACACCCATGTGTAAGTATTCACATATTATATTTCTTTCTTGAGGTGGGTGACCTAAAGGTTAAGAGCACTTACAGCTCTTACAGAGTACAGTGTTCTCGGCTATCTCCAGTCCAAGTTTAACAAAGTCAACTGAATGGTTTCTCTGTCCCTATGAGTCAAAATTTTCAACTCATTCTCCAATTAAATAACTTGTTCTTGCATCATGAGTTAAATTCCTAGAGGGAGATACAGGATTTAAGTGTGGTAGATACAATCCACCACTGACAACCACTCCACATGCTAACTCTTCTGACTAACCACATCAGGACAGGCTTCTGGACAATGTCAGCTGAAACAGTATCCCTTTGTGCCAGGCTGCACCTTGTAACTGCTTCAGCACGGCAAAGTCCACTAATGGATCTCTGTGATGACACCGGTGGGTGAATGGTGATCACTGTGGTTAGTAGCTTCCTAGCAGCAGCAGCTCTGTGCAGGACAGAAACGGGACAACTGCCCACTGAATCCACAGAGTCCACGGGATGCAAGTGCTGGCCTGACATCCCAGGAACCCTGACCATCTCAAGTCTTCCTCACTTGCTCCACGAGTTCTGCTTACTATAATCTTTCTTTTGCTTTTTTCCCCCTCAAAGAAATTTGTAATTGAGTAAGACACAATTTTCACTGGGAAGTTTGCAGAGTGTGTTGAGTCGGTATATAGTTTCAAAGGAAATTCAACCTTTCTATGGAGTTCATTTATTCTTATCAGAATATTGACTTTAAAAAGTAACTTGATGCATCATATGCTCCTCTTTGACTCTCTTTATGAGCTTTTAAAGTCTTGATTTTTAATAGCTAAAAACCATGAAATTCTGTTCCCTGTCCATTAAAAATAAATAGCTTAGTCCCTTGAAACCTTGGACAAGAGTCAAAAGTCATGTGTGTGGTGTGTGTGCAGCTGTCTACCTTGTTTTTTGAGACAAGAGGACCTGGGCTCACTGAATAGAGTAGGCTGGCCAGCCAATGGGCCTCAGAGACCTGTGTGTCTCCATTTCCCCAGGACTAGGATTACAAGTATGTACCATGTGCCATATGGATGCTGGGGATCAAACTCAGGTCCTCCTATTAGCACAGCAAGTACTTTACCAACTAAACCACTGCCTCAAACCCAAACGGGAAATTCTTAAGGTGCAGCTGCCCTCTGAGCTTTAATGGCAACCCAGCATCGCTGTCCTGAGGCCTAAATGGTGCCATGACAGAACTTCAAAGACAGCTGCCAAACAAACCTGATGGGGCCATCATAGCCATGCTACCAGTAATAAACTAAAGCAACACTATCTTTCATATCCAAAGGTATCTGCCAAGTTTTTAGCTGCACAAATCATAACCTTGGAATTGGAAACAGCACAGTGGTCTACAAACTTTCTGGTTCATACCTGAATCTATAAAATCGCATCTACTTATGAAACACACCTGTTATTATTCGTTTCACTGGTATGACTTCCTAAGTACAAGTAGCTGAAGGTTCCAAAACAATCCCAAATGAGCAAGCTGTACCATTCTTTTCTTTGTTTCCACTAAGGGACTTCATTCATTGTTCACTTTTTATCATGTGACTAAAGTTCATTTCACAAGTTTCAAAATCTTCATAAAACATAAATTGATGTCATGAGTTCAGATGCAGAGATAGAAAATCTCCATGGCTTGATTTATAGAGGCTGATAGTCATGTGACTAAGAAAAAAATTAACAATTCAGTGACAGATGTTTATAATTCTACCTGGTCTTTGCTACAAACAGGTAAAAGGTATGACACTCTGGACTTTCCAAGCAGTTGTCTTCCTGTACAGTCCTATGGTTTGTCGCAGACAGCTGGGAAGCTACAGACAACCCTACAGGAAGGATGTTTCAAGTGGTGTGTACTTAGCCTCAAGCCTTCTGCAGTTCAGTTCTTGTGCAGAAGTCATTTGGAATACTACTTTGGCGATGAGTCTAACACTTAGTGTAATGCATTCTAAAAAGCACTGCATACGCCCCCTTGAACATGGATCTCCAGGTCTGGCAAGTCTCGGGCTGGATCCACAAATGCCATGAGTACCTTCAGAAGGCTATCTGTCTGCATTTTGGTAACTATAAGAGTCTTTAAATTGTCTGTTGTTTTTCTCAACAGGGCTTCTCTGTTTAGCCCTGGCTGTCCTGGAACTTGTCCTGGCCTTGAACTCAGAGATCCTCCTGCCCCTGCCTCCTGTGTGCTGGGAATTAAAAGTGTGTGCTACCACTGCTCAACAACTTTAAAATTGCTAAGGACATTGATCATGCACCTTTTCCAGCCTTCCTGGGAGAGACAAACTGCAGCCATTGAGATTCAGTGCTTGGTCAGTGCCAGCTGTCTTTCCTACCTACTCAGTCCCTCTCTCCTTTCACAAAATAACTTTGACTGTTGGCTGTTTTAAAATGAGCCAATTTACATGTTAGTGAACCCTCCAGTTTTCCTTTTGTATGGATTTCTAGTTTCATTTCACTGTGATCAAAAAGTAGGGCTGGTATGACTTCATTCTTTTTCCATTTCTTTTAAGGCACGCTTTGTGATCCAAAATACGGCCTATCCTGGAGGATGCTCTAAGAGAAAAGTGTTATTATTATTATTATTATTATTATTATTATTATTATTATTATTTGAGTGCTCTGTACATCTCAACGTCTCTTAGCACTGCCTTGGTCCTATTTACTTACTACTCTTCACTCTGAAAAAAATCAATCCATTTACTCAAAGTGGAGTGTCAAAATTCTACTTGTTTTCTATTTTCCCATCAGTCTATCAATGCAGGCTTTGTATTTGTGGCATTCTGTTGTATGTACAAATC